CATCAGATGAGCTCCAGCTTGTTTGGAGTGAAAACCTGCAGCCACACCGGCCCTGTGTGGATAAGATTGGACACCCCTGACATAAAGTATATGTTTATCATCTACGGAACAACACAGTTCTCTCCAATGGTACAATAAAACAGTAAGAAATCTTTGTTGTGGCTACCAGTGAAGTTCTTTGGCCTCTGTATTAATACTTTATCATTTTTGTACTAAGATTATGTAAGACTTAATATATTAACTAAGCAAACTGACATCATTCTAGCACATCACATGAGCAGAAAGTATGGATGCCCTGAGAGGTAAGATGAAAAAAGGGTGACAGTGTGTTACAGAGTCTGTCCCACATTATTTGTTTTTGTTCTGCATGTATAATGTGCCAAAAAGAGTTTCTAGTATTACATATATGCACATACATATATGTAAATACATATTGGCTATCACTTGGCATGTTACACCAGTTTTGATCAGCAGGGGGCACCAGATTTTTATACATATATTTTTTTTTATATATATAATATATTTTCTTACCCTTCAAGGAAACCAAGTGAAAATTAGCAAGATTTCTCTTTAGGAATCAGGAGAAAAAAAATCTCTGGGGAGCTAAATGAAAACTGCTCAAAATTGGTGTAACATGCTAAGTTGTATGTTCCACAGGCAGAAAAAAATAAACAATGGGGATCTCAGGAGCACAGTTTCAACTTTCTTTTACCCTTCAGGGCTTCTGTAAGAAAGGCATATAACTACATTATGAAAATTGCTTTGAACTGACTGATGACTCTTACTGTTCTCACTCACATCCACATAACAAATCATCCCAAACAGCATGGCTCTCTTTCTCAGAATGTTTTATCAGTGAAACTATGCTGTCTCTTCATTTTTCATGTCTGATATCAAAGTTCTTTGTGATGTTTTGCATGGAGAGCTCTGTCCATTACAGCACGTAGGGCTACCCAGTTTCACCTTTTCTATCTCCTACTACATGATGTCATAGCTGTTCTTCCCTTCCGGTCACTAATGCAGCTGTAAAGTGTTTCTATTACTGAGCATGTGAAGGATTCCTAACTGTATGATTTTTGATTGTTGTTTAAAAACATGTTCCACTAAAGTTCTGGGAGAAAGTGAATATATACGTTCTAAAAGCAGATCTCAGATCAGGGTGTGAACTCTGACAGAGACTCTTGTGAAATATAAGGTCAGGATCATTTCACATGGTGACCAGCTGTAAATGATGTCATTTCCTACATTGCTATAAAACCAACCCCAGAAACAGGAGTGAGGCCTGTTCCTTAAAAACAGAGCCCTGAAACATGAAGATATTGCATTAAACCTTTTAGCCAACTGTGTTTGAACACATTGACCTCCACATTTAACCATGCAGTGAAACACCCACATACATGAACACACACACTAGGGGGCAGTGAGCACACTTGCCTGGAGCGGTGGGCAGCCCTATCCACAGCACCCAGGAAGAAGTTGGGTGCCCTGCTCAAAGGCACTTCATTCATGTTCTGTCAGCTCAAGGGATCAAACCAGCAACCTTATGGTCACAAGGCTGGTTCTCTAACCTCCAGCCCACGACTGCCACCATGATATGAATTCATATTGAGCAAATATGGTCCAATTAAAAGCTACATATTTATTCACTTATAAAAAAAATGAATAAACACAGGTAAACAAATGTTGTCATCCATGTTTTTGATAAAACATTATCTGTGCAAAGACTGTATATAAATACAATATTGGGCCCTCTTTATATTAAGTCTCTCTAACAATCATGTAGTTACACAGTAACAACATATGTAACAAGAATGTAACTACTGCTCATCTATTCACTGTTAGAGGTGGATAACAGTAGTGCAGCTTTTGTAAATAGACATGCATATCTTGATAGCTATAACAATATATTGTCTCTTATGTAATTGCTAATTACATTTGCATAAAATGCTGTTCTGATTGTAACAGCAGGTGTACAATTACTTACATTATGAAAACATTCACACTGCATCTGCACATAAAATGCCAAATTTCTAAGCCTTAGCTAGCTGTGGTATTGTGATTTTGTTGTAACACAGTAACTTAGGTTCTGGTTATAAACTGTCCTGTAATGTGATGGCATTTACACAACAGCACATGTCTTTAAAAGTAGATATTATATTATTACAATATGTGTTGCATTGAATGACTCCAAAAGCAAATCTGGATTACCAGTCAGTAATTTCAATGGACCTACATAACAACTACAGTTCTCTTCAAAACATAGACCAAGACAAAATACTAATGTTTTTAGCTGATCGTTTTGAGTCCAGATTTAATCCCTTAAATATCCAGGGACCACAGTTTTATTACACCCTTCTATAAGCAAAGAATAGCTCAGGCAGTTTCCACTGAGGTCCCTGTAATTACTGAAAAACAAGCCTTAGTATGTAATAAGCCTATAGGGATTTGAACTCTACAGTGAATATTTGGTCTCACATTGAACACAAACTGGCTTGGCAATGTTTTTCAACTGTTTTAATTCATCAGTTGATTGATGATCGATTAATACCAATTGGTTAACACATCATAACACATACTTACCACAGCTAACATAATGTTAGGAATGTTGGCATTTCATGTGTAGAGCAACTTACAATGAATATCTGTTGCTATCAGAAAAGTCTTGTTGGATTAAAAGCAGTTCATACAAAATGTACATATGTACCTGTATATAACCTGTATATAATTACACATATGCATTTACATAAAAGAAAATATGCTGTTATTACTACCAAGATAGGCTTATGCAGTTACATTAGTAAGAACAGAAGTTGACACACAGGTATTTGCATGAGCTGCACTGCTGTAATCCATCTGTAACAGTGAGTACATTATCCATAGTTACATTTTTGCATGTGCTAATGTTTAATTACAGTTATTATAGACACTTAATGTAAATTGTGCCTTATTTTAAGTGAATGTTGTGTTTTAGATATTTTTTTTTCCATCCATTTGATTTTATCTACTGCTAGTGCAAGGACAATGGCTACTGGTGATCCTGATAATAGTTAATCAGTGAAATAGAACATTTCTAGTGCAGTCAGTGACTCTATTTGTCAGGTACAACTAACATCTATTCTATCACACCTGATTCAAGTCATTAACTAATTAACAAGCTCCTCGCTGGCTGTGTCAGGTGTTACAGTGGGGAAAACCCAAAATGTCCAGAGTATGTGGTCTCCAGGACTGGGATTGTCTAATTGACAAATGTCATAATATCATCTTTACTCCTGGCAGTTTTATAACCACTAAAACATTCAGACCTATCAGGAGAAACAGCATCAGGGTTAAATTACACACCCAGTCACCTTCACTAACTACTATTAGACAATTCAATGACCTGGATGACTAAAAAAAAACTGCACAGACAATAAATCTGTAAACATTGAAACTACTGTGTGTAGAAAAGACTGAATTCTCAAGACTGCAAATTATAGTTTTTATTAGAGAAACATACTGAAATGTAGAGACAAAGCTTTGGCCTTAAACAGCTTCACAAGACATGATGTTGGAAAATCTTATAAACAATAAATACGTAAGTTCCAAGTCCTTTTAAATTGTGTACATTCTATAGACCATAAAAAATTGAAGGTAGAATGGGTTCTTGGTGCTGGTGCAATGAAAGAAAAGCCTCCTTTTAGCACATTAATATTTAAGAGTGGAAATTCAACAGCTCAACATAAAGGTATATCAAATACGTGGGTTTAAAAATGCAAACATTCACATAAAAAATACATAAAAGATCAGGAAAATGCATGTATGTTACAGTTTGATGTTTTGAATAAAACTCTCACTCTTTCTCTCAGCTATGGTTGTCCAGTGGATTGTTGGTGCAGTTTTGGAATTTGGTCTGGTAAACACTGTAGCCGATGGTCTCAGTGTTACTTCTTAAAAACCTATGTAAAGAAGTAGATGTGTTAGTGAAGATCACACTTTAATTTAAACTAGTTAAGAACTTTAAAATGGTTTGACAGCTAATAACTCATAATAACTAATAATAATAATTGTTTGGTTCAACTAACTAATGTTGAAAATACTGTGCATGCTGTTTAAATACTGGGTTTGTACATGTGATAGTATGTGTGAATGATTGAGTGATTGAGTGAATGTGTATGCATGTGAGAGAACAAGAGTGAGAAATAGAGACAGAGAGTGTATGTGTGTATGTATAAGGGAGAGAGAATGGATTGTATTTGTATGAGTGAATGTTTGCATGTTAGTTTGCATATAGTGTGTATGTGGGGTTAAATAGTGTGTAAATACTGTGTGTTAGCATGTACTTTTGTGTTCAAGTGTGTAAAGGTGAGCATTAGTGTACCAGTAGAGTGTAATTACAGTGTAGCAACATTGTAATTACTATGTAACTACTATGTAGGACGTGTGTGACTACAATATAATTACTGTTCATCCATGAGTAATTCTGTATGTAACATGTATGAGGACCAATGTGTGACATGTAGCCCTCAGGATGTCTATAAGTGCAAAGATCTATCAGAAAATAGCGTCTTTACTAACTGAGCTGTCCCACAGTCATTTAACAAACATTGGGTTAAGTTTTATACACAAATTTAACATGAACAATCTGAATAACAGTTGTAATTGAATTTTACCACCCTGATGTTGGGCAGCTCGGGTGTATCTGCTCATTTCTGCTAGTCTGCTTTGCTAACTAGCAATCATTATCAATCAGTGACACAAAATCAATAGTTATTCTAACCTCCAGCACTCTGGCAGTTCCTCTCAAAATTGTTTACTGAATGTGTCATAGAAATATAAGAGTTCCCTGCCTCCATTTTAAAGGTGAAATGGCAGAGTCCTTTCGCTCAGACACGATGTGAGACTGTTTTGTTATTTGCTATTTAGTTTCTCAAGACTCTAAAACTGTGAATGGACTGTAAGAGTGTAATAAGACTTAATGTCTCAAACTCACAGCAACATTCGTGTATACACTGCGTTCGTCTTCAGGAGGTGGATGGGTGCTGTGGCCTTTTTGGCCTTCGTTCTGCAGAACAGAGAGTTAGAGAACGTGAGCAGACACTGGTAAACATCAAACAACTTTACTGTAGTCAGTCACATCTGTCCACTGCAGGTCCACCACTGGATTAAGAATGAAAGGATCCTGATATCTAGAGCTCACCGCATAGATTGGTTCATCCATATTTCCATCCTGCTTCTTTCTCCTGCTCTCAGAAAACAGCCAGCAATAAATCAATAAATAAACATTAGCATTTATAATACAAATATGAACATTTAGCCTTGTTAAAAAAAATAATATATATAATATAATATTTTTTTTATGAAAAATAAAGCTTTTTCGTTGTTATTCTTACCTCCTCCACAAAACTACAGTGAGAAAGACTAAAAAAATAAAACAAAGTCCAACTCCAACAGCTACATACAAAATCACAGGGTAGCCTGTATAGGGATACACAAACAGGCAACGTTCATAAATTAATAAACATTAATAAGAAAATGAACAACATAATAATATGATCTACAAAAGAGAACATACTTTGAACTACAAGCTATAATCTTGTAAATCTCTCACCTTTAAAAGAGACCGGCACTCCAGCTGACCTCTGAGCTCCATGTTCATTCTGAGCTTCACAGTAGTACAGTCCAGTGTGTTCAGCAGTGATGCTGATGATGCTGTAATTCTGTCCAGATCCTACAGGTGAGGTTCCACCTTCTTTGAACCAGGTGTAGTTTTTCACAGGTGGGTTTGCATCACTGCTGCAGGTCAGAGTCACTGAACGGCCCTCCACTATTGCACCAGAGGGACTGATGGACACTGAGAGACTCTTTGGAGGATCTACAGACAAGATAAAAATGATAATGATCTTTGAGATTTCTGGACTTCCGCAAATCATCTAACACAACTTAAAACAGTCACAAGAAGCTTACACAGAACATTAATCTGCACAGCAGTGGAGTTTCTCTCTCCATGATCATTCCGACTCTGGCATGTGTATTCTCCACTGTCCTCAGATCTGATGTTGGGAATACTGTAGGTTTTTCCTTCTCCTACTGATGTTGATCCCTTAATCCAGGTGTAGTTCTTCACAGGTGGGTTTCCATCACTGCTGCAGGTCAGAGTCACTGAACTGCCCTCCACTGTTTCACCAGAGGGACTAATGGACACTGAGACATTATTTGGAGGATCTATAAGAGACAAGAATAAAAGTAAATTAGCTGTTACCCAACCCTGTATGGGATCAGCCTGTGTCTATGCCCACCCACAGAGGGTGACGGCGGTGAGGCATCACTGGTCCAGGTAACTCCAATTCTCAGATGCCCATGGGCTGGTTAGCGCAAACCAGGTACACCTGTGTGATGCTGCACTTGAGCCCATGGCAAACAGCAGTTTGGCACTGCACCTTGTAGAGGGGTGACCATATAAATCAGAGAACAAAAGAACAGAAAGAGCAAATGGCTCTAAAATCAAACGAGAAAAGAGTCTTTTCTGTAAAAGAAAAGAGACAAACAGCCCCAAATCAAAGAGATAAAAAACTAGAAGCTGCTAAAGTAAAGCAAAGAGACAAACAGTCCCCCCATACAAGAAAGAAAAAGAAGGCTGAGAAGAATGTCTGCCCTAAAAAAGTCTCAGAAGATTGAAAAGAGCCAGGAGATCAGGGGTTCAATCCTGGCTTGAGGTGATACTACAACAAAATACGCAATCATTACACTCCAGCCCACTAACAATTACCCACTATAAGCAGTCCACAACTCTTATCGTTTGATTCAATTAAAACCTTGTAAATAGGGGTTTTCGCCAATGCACTTTGCACCCTTACTGTCCTGAAAGAAATGGAGCACAACAAATAATCAACTTACAAAGAACATTTAGGTGAACAGCAGTAGATCTTCTCTCTCCATGTTCATTACGACCCTGGCATGTGTATTCTCCACTGTACTCAGATGTAATGTTGGGAATGCTGTAGGTTTTTCCTTCTCCTACTGATATTGATCCCTTAAACCAGGTGTAGATCTTCACAGGTGGGTTTGCATCACTGCTGCAGGTCAGAGTCACTGAACTGCCCTTCACTATTTCACCAGAGGGACTGATGGACACTGAGACATTCTTTGGAGAATCTAAAGACACACATAACCTTTTTCACATTAATATGGCAAGGTGTTACCAAGACATCTACATTTCTGTTTTCCTGCTAAAACCACTGATTAGTATTTACAGTATGTAGTGTATTGAACAACATGAACTAAACTCACATCTGACTCTGAGGTTGTGAGCAGTAGACTGGAGATGTTGATATCCTCTTACAGCACAGCTATAACTGCCTGCATCCTCACTGCTGACTGTCTGCAAGTGGAGCTGGTTGTTCTTGATGGTCTTTGTGGTTAAAGGACGTCCATTTTTGTACCAGATGAATGTTGGTTCAGTCAGACTGCAGGTGGTTTTACATGTCAGATCTGCTGTTTCTCCCTCTGTCACTTCTCCAGGACTTTCCACGCGGAGCTCTAAGACAATGATGGAATTATTACATTCAGAAAAAAAAAAGTTAATCTCAGACTTTTGTATGGAAAACTTTGATTTGTTTGTGTTAAGTTTTCTGTCACAGTGCTGAGAAACCTGATAACTGTAGCATTTTGTGTTTTCCAAGGTCGGACATGAATAGGATGAAAAAATTGCATGGGAATCAGTGGAGCCAACATGTTGAGTGCATAACCCAAATGTTTAGTTATATCCATGAATAACTTCAGCAGTCCCTCATTAATCAGGAATGTGTTACCAAGTGAAATCACAATGTCTAAAGTGAGAGGATGAATCCTGTCACATAATTGGTAAATTTGATTTATCTTACCTGTAACAATTAGCGTAACTCCAGGTCTTTCCAAATATTTTTGCATTTCTTGATTTGTCTTGATTCTGATGCAGTACTCATGTTCGTCATTCTTCATTACATTATTCAGTTTAAGGGAAACTAATTTCTGTTTATCACCCAAATACTCAACTCTGCCTGAGTAATCTGGGTTTTTGGACAAATCAGGCCAACTCGGATTCTGATCTGGGTCCATAACCCAGAAAACTTCTGTCACTGTTAGACCACCTGGGTGAGTAAAAGTTCCATTTATAAACACTGTGGATCCTTTTAAAGCACATATTTCCTGTTGGTTGTACTTCACACTCCACTTTGTTCCAAAAGCTCCTGAAACATATGATGCATGAAAGAGCTGATTACAGAGTCTCCTAAAAGATGGAAAAAAGCAGTTTTATCCGTTGACAAAATTTACGTTGACAGTCAGCTATACAGTGACAAGGATATTACACCTTGGCTGTTTTGAAACCTATCATTGTGAAAGGCAGATCAGATAAGTTGATACGAAACCTGACAATCTGATATCTATCTATCTATCTATCTATCTATCTATCTATCTATCTATCTGTCTGTCATCCATCCATCCTACTACTGTATGTATATGTAACTAATACATCGCACTCATTACAACATACGTCTAAAGCAGGAGAGCATTCCTATCCATAACTGTAGATTTTCTGCTCTTTTTATCTTTTTGTTCTTTTCTTTGCTTCTCTCTCCTTCTCCCTCCAAATCACTATGTATATCTGTGCAATTTACTTTTTTACTTTCCCAACACCAGTACATATTTTTGTATACCTTATATCAATTTGCTCACACACAAGCTTTCAACCACTAACAGGAGCATTTATAACAAATTATTTATGTCTACACAGAATCATCTTCATAGCAACACACACCTACACACAACCTGGCGAAAACATTCAGGAAACCAATGAACATTTAACATCATTATCATGTCACAGTTGAATTCTATTACATGGAATATACGTGGTATTGGCTCTCAAGATACACAAAGAGTTTACATGTTACAGCTTCACTTCTCTCTAACTCCAGCAGCTACTCTACAACACTGAGCTGATTCTGAGAGATAACAGAAAGTGCGAAGAGCTCTAAAGGTGTTGCAGCAGAGTCAAAGAAGGGACAAGAGAGAAGCACAAACTACCAACTGAACACAGTGAATATGTTGTAGCTCCAGACATTAACAACTTACTTAACTAACTTAGTTCATGTGTATTTCTACATCACAACAATCCATTGTGCTGTTGTAGAAATTATGTTTCAGTAAGATGTGTTGACTCACCTACAATGATGAACAGAAACAACAGAGGAAGAGACACTCTGTGCGACGCCATCGCATTAAAGCCTACAATAATAGTACATAACAAATATACTCTTTGCAGACAAAATTTGAAAATCAATTCATCCAGATGGCTCTTAAAACCCATTATATTGTAATCTAACAACAAAACACTTTGGTCTGAGTAAAATTATGACTTGTCTTAACATTCTAAGAACTGAGTAACCACAATTGATGTGGTCCAAATCTTTTTTATTCTTAATATATTTAGTTTTAAGTCACCAAACATCATGTAGTCTGTTATTATTAAATATATTCAGATCTGAAGAATCAGTCTTACCGCTCTGTAACGAGGCTCATCACTGATGCCCAACTTACAAGGAATGAGAGCTGTGTCGACCTGTGAACCGTTGAAATGCATGTGGTTAACACAAACAAAGCTGTAAGCTGTTGCACTTTATAGAGACATTCAAACATTTTAATATATTAACTTCCTCTGACTGGTTACATGTGATGTTGCAGCAAGACATCAGCATAATCTGCTGCAAAAACAGAATTATCTCTGAGTAAAACCATTAAGTCCTTTCATTTCCCATTTCTAATATTGAAGTTCTTCATAATATGTTCCATTAAGAGCACTGACCCTTCTACAGGACTACAGTTCCACCTCTTGTTTTCAGTGCTGATCTCAGTACAGTGTTACCCAGCTAATAGAATAATCATCGTCAGATCATCTGAATAACACAGTGAGATCTGGACCTGCTTTCTGAAAATTTCTCAGCAACTGGCATGATGTGTGATGTCATAGGTGTTTCCCCTCCTCCACTTCTTTTCAGTAATGATGACTTTTGACAGCAGCTCAGTGCATAGTGTTCCTGTTACTGACAACATGAACCCTCTGAGTCTTGGTTTGTATGAGGCATTGTAGAATCTCCATATATTACACTCCTGTTGTTTTAGTATCCATTTTATAGCAGATTTGCAGTTTGTCCTGGCAGTCATGCTGCAGCTTACTGTAGGCATTCATACAAAGAGATCAAGGATGCTTTATGTGATAAAATGCTGGAAAATTTGGTGCCATTTCAGCTTTAATTCCCAGTTTGTTTATGCTTGTTTGATAAAAATGAGCTCCTGTTAAGGCCACTAGACATTTACATTTACAGCATTTAGCAGACACTCTTATCCAGAGCGACTTACAAAAAGTGCTTTGTCTATCCAAAAAGTATCTTTGCTAGTTAGGTTAGAGAGAAAGTCAGTCCTGAGCTCAGATACTGCTAGAATCAGAAAGTCATTATTGACACCTAGAGAAAAAGGGAGAGTTAAACACAGAGCAGTGCAATACAATACAATACATAAGTGCAGTACAATACATAATCAATACTTAATTCAGTGCTCATTTAAGTGCTGTATAAAGATATGTGTCTTCAGTCTGCGTTTGAAGACAGCGAGAGACTCTGCTGTATGGACAGCCAGTGGGAGTTCATTCCACCACATGGGTGCCAACACAGAGAACAGTCTTGATGCTTGCCTTCCCCGCCTTGAAGGATGGCGGGTCAAGTCGAGCTGTGCTCAAAGCTCGAAGGGCTCGAGACTAGACACTGTGATATTCACCTGTCTTCACATTAGCAATGAAATAGATTTTTGAATGTCCTTTAGATTAACTATGCATTGTTTTCTTCATTAATATTGATACAGTATGTATGGATGGGAATATTGTTTTCAAAATTGGAAGTGAGCTAAATTTTCATATTTGTAGGTGAGCTAACGTCAACATTTATAAAAGTGTTTGCGTTTAAATACATTATTTAATTAAGACAGATGTACCAAATTTATTGATAACAAGAACAATGCTGTGTAGAGAATTGTTTTTACAGCAGGAGGTCCCCAATTCTGCCCTTTCACTCCACATTGCTCGCTAGCAGCTCAATACAGAGGCAACATCATCCTTGTTTATCTGTACAGAGTTGTGGTGAAAAAAAATATTTTATGATACTAATTTAAAGTATCCAAATCAATATCCATTATGCTCATTTATTACTTTGTGTTGTGTTTTATCTGTGAGATGACTTCACAGGCTGTTCATTTGATTAAAAGAGTAAATGTTGTTCTTCATGTTTACCCAATGTGCATCAAATTCATTTACTGATTTATGTTTTTTTTTTTCTGTTTGTATTTACAGCTGCACTCAGGTAAATGCCCTTGTACCCAATATCACACTGACCATTAAAATTCACTATTGGTTAAACATATTAAGAATTTCTGCTCTCTTACAAGAGCCTCCAAGATCTACCAACCTACCAAGTCAGCATCTCAAAAGTTTTAACTCCATTCACACATTTCTGGCAAAGTTTCTGGGAGTAAGTAGTGAAAATTCTGATATCCAAGAACAAAGACGCTGTACTGAATGCTCTTTTTCCACCCCAAGTAAACAGACAAAGATACCTAGTACATTCTGTTCAGAATGATCTACAAACCCAATTCCAAAAAAGTTGGGATGCTGTGCAGAATGTAAATAAATGCAAATAAAAACAGAATGCAATGATATGCAAATCTCATACAGCCATATTTGATTCACAATTGAACAAATATCAGATGTTGAAAGTGAGACATTTTACCATTTCATGAAAAATATCAAGTAATTTAGAACTTGATGGCAGCAACACGTCTCAACAAGTTGGGACAGGGCCATGTCTACCATTGTGTAGCATCCCAACTTCTTTTACCAACAGTCTGTAAACATCTGGGAAGTGAGTGCACAAATTTTTGGAGTTTTAAGAGAGGAATGTTCTCCCATTCTTGTCTTATGTAGTATTCTAGCTGCTCAACACTCCTGGGTCTTCTTTGCCAGATTTTTCTTTTCTTGATGGAGCAAATGTTTTCTCTTGGTGAAAGGTCTGGACTGCAGGCAGGCCAGTTCAGCAACTGGACTCTTCTTCTGTAAAGCCGTTCTGTTGTGATGGATGCAGTATGTGGTTTAGCACTGCTGAAATATGCAACACCTTCCCTGAAAAAGACATCTTAATCTCAGCATATATTGCCAAAACCTGTATATTTAATTCAGCATTAATGGTGCCATCACAGATGTGCTGGACACCCATGCCATGTGCACTAATGCTCCCCCATACCATCATGGATGCTGGCTTTTGAACTATGTGCTAATAACAAGCTGGGAGTTCTTTAGCCTGGAGGATGCAGTGCCCAGTATTTCCAAAAAGAATTTCAAATTTTGATTCACTGGACCACAGGACACTTTTCCACTTCACCTCAGTCTATTTTAAATGAGCTTGGGCCAAGAGAAGGTGGCAGCATTTCTGGATCCTGTTTATATGTGGTTTCTTCTTTGCATGGCACAGCTTTAACTTGCATTTGTGGATTTCACGGCGAACTGTGCAAACTGTGATTTCTGGAAGTGTTCCTGAACCCATGCAGTGATTTCCAGTACAGAATCATGCCTGTTTTGAATGCAGTGCTGCCTGAGACCCAGAAGATCACAAGCATCCAATATTGACCATCGGCCTTGTCCCTTGCATACAGGGATTTCTCCTGATTCTCTGAATCTTTTTATGATATTATGTGCTGTAGATGGTGTGACATCCAAAGTCTTCGCAATTTTGCTCCACAATTTTTAGACGCAGTTTTATACAGGTTGGTTTTCATGACTGGCTCAACATCATGACAAATAAAAGGGAAGCACACAGTGAAAGGATTTTAATAAGAAATAAACTTAATGATCTGGTGCAAACATCTCAAGGACAAAAAATGTAGGCGAAAAATAACTCCAAAATAAAACAAAACAAATAAACTGAAGCATAATACCCAAAAAAACAAAAACCAACTGCCTGGGACACAAACAACAAAACAAAAGAGTAGCTCCCACCACAAGCATACCACACAGGTGTAAGTAGTGTTCCTGATGAGGCTTTCAGCCCCACCCACTACAAGTCCACCTGTAATGGCACAGGCCCGTCACATTGGTGAACCTCTGCTCCTCTTTGCTTCTGAGAGACTCTGCCTCTCTAAAATACTCTTTTTATACTCAGTCATGTGAGTTGGTTACATATTGCTTCTTCAGCTGTTTTTTTATTAGTACCACTTACTTTTCCAGTCTTTTGTTGCCGCTGTCCCGACGTTTTTGAGATGCGTTGCTGCCATCAAGTTCTAAATGAGTTAATATTTTTCAATAAATGGTAAAATGTCTCACGTTCAACATCTGATATTTGTTCTATGTTCTATTGTGAATAAAATTTGGCTGTATGAGATTTGCAAATCATTGCATTCTGTTCATTTCAAAATTTCCAATTTTTTTTGGAATTGGGGTTTTAAGTTTCAAAGCAAGTCAGCAGATAAACAAACTTAGATTCTTGTTTTGGAAGATGACCTCAGTTAAGATGCTGACTGGCTGTAAATGATGTCTTTTCCTCTGTAGCTATAATATGAATCCCAGCAACAGAAGCTGATCTTTGAATAAAGCAGTGAAACAGGCATAAAGTTAATGTCATAAATGTGAACCAGTAATTGTTAAAAATATTTATCCTAAACTTCATAGTTATTGGCCTAGTATTTCTTCATTATTCTGTATTAGTCCTATGCAGAGGTAAGGTTAGTGCCTGCACTGTTACTTTAAGTAGCCCTGCGGTTTGATGTCATCACTGGTGCGACTGTCTCTGTCTGCAGTTTGTGAATTGACAGAAGGAGGGCGCTGTTTCTCTGCTTTGAGAAACAGGGGATGTTTGTTGTGGAAATCAACACATACATTCACTTATAATAGTAATAATAATAATATTAATAGTAATAATAATAATAATAATAATCATCTCATTATCATCATCATCATAATTAATGTATATAAGATTTATTTATTTATGATACAAGGTCACGTTACAATTTTAAAAAGATAAAATACAGATCATATCAAAGAGTGAAAGTGAAATGTAAAGGAATTCTTTTTTTTATTTGGCATTTGTAGGAGTGCTGGATACTGTTTGATGACATTGTAATTAGTGATATTGCTGAGCAAATGATATAAGTTTATAACTCATAATAACTTGGTGCAACCGGAGAAAATCACAGAACAACATAATTGTATGTTTTCAGCTCTAAGCATTTCATAGAGAAAAGACAATTAGCAGAAAATCATACAGATGTTTTTATTTATTTGGGTTTAATTTTTTTGATCGGTAAAATCTAAGGTCCCCACGTAAAGACTGACTGTTTCACATGTTTTAAAATAGATGTTTCAAAGTAATCTCACTCGGGATTGCTGTAGTTTTTATTGAAAATTATGGTGATGGTCTCAGTGATGCTTCTTCGTCTATAAGAAAATGATACAAAATACAGCAGAGCATATGCACACACACACACACACACACACACACACACAAAGCTTTCAGTTTGTGCTTTGGCTTAGCAACTACACTATTATACAATTTTTAAATACTAAACCACATTTAGTTTTAATCTCTCAATGTGAAGCATTATATGGTTGCAATATATCTGGATGATGCTACCCTGAACAAATTTCTGTAAGGTATCACTCTACTTCAGTTTTTGACTGCAGGGAGTCAAATTGCACTGATGTTCCACCTTAAATATTGCAGTTAAGCCTGTCAATCACAACACAGACAAACTGGCCAAAACAGGTGAAGAGAAGCTGACATGGAGAATAATGAGCTGTATGACTCTTCCTCTATTGTTTCTAAAACACAGTTAGTCTGCTGGAAGGTTTAGGTAGTGATACTATGCTTTTAATCTACTGTGAGCTTCTGATATTACTTTAAACACACATGCTAAATATGTACCTTATTCTCTGTTAGCTGGTATGATATTCTGATGTTTTTCCAAGGCTTTATATGGATCATGTTTATGCAGCAGCTCTAGATAAAATATATTTTTTTTCTTACTAAAGTAAAAATAATTCACTTAATCATAAATGTCAATTTAATAATGAAAATCAAGAATAAAATTGTGCCATACTAAGTGGTACAATCTCAAAAGTGTGAGAATCTATATACTACCTTACACACTTTCATATTGAAGCAGAATTTCAGAATTCTGATATCTAGAGCTCACCACTTAGATTGGTTGATCCATATTTCCATCCTGCCTCTTTCTCATGTTCTCAGAAAACAGCCAGTAATAAATCAATAAACATTAGCACTTATGATACAAATATGAACCTATAGCCTTGTTAAATAAACTGTTTATGAAAAATAAAGCTTTTTCATTGTTATTCTTACCTCCTCCACAAAACTACAGTGAGAAAAACTAAAAAAATAAAACAAAGTCCGACTCCAACAGCTACATACAGAATCACAGGGTAGCCTGTATAGGGATACACAAACAGGCAACAATCATAAATGAATAAACATTAATAATCATGTTAACAACACACTTTGAACTACAAATGAAATGTTTAATCTTGTCTCTCACCTCTCACCGGCACCCCAGCTGACCTCTGAGCTCCATGATCATTCTGAGCTTCACAGTAATACAGTCCAGTGTGGTCAGCAGTGATGTTGATGATGTTGTAATTCTGTCCAGATCCTACAGGTGAGGTTCCACCTTCTTTGAACCAGGTGTAGATCTTCACAGGTGGGTTTGCATCACTGCTGCAGGTCAGAGTCACTGAACTGCCCTCCAATATTATACCGGAGGGACTGATGGACACTGAGACGCTCTTTGGAGGGTCTACAGCAAACAAGATAAAAATGATAATGATCTTTGAGATTTCCGGGCTTCCTCAAATCATCTAATACAGCTTAAAACCATCACAAGAAGCTTACAAAGAACATTTAAATGCACAGCCGTGGAGTTTCTCTCTCCATGATCATTCCGACTCTGGCATGTGTATTCTCCACTGGCCTCAGATCTGATGTTGGGAATGCTGTAGGTTTTTCCTGGTCCTGCTGATAGTGATCCATTAAACCAGGTGTAGATCTTCACAGGTGGGTTTGCATCACTGCTGCAGGTCAGAGTCACTGAACTGCCCTCCAATATTATACCAGAGGGATTGATGGACACTGAGACGCTCTTTGGAGGATCTAAAACAGACAAGAAGATAAAAATGATAATGATCTTTGAGATTTCCGGGCTTCCTCAAATCATCTAATACAGCTTAAAACCATCACAAGAAGCTTACATAGAACATTTAAATGCACAGCCGTGGAGTTTCTCTCTCCATGATCATTCCGACTCTGGCATGTGTATTCTCCACTGTCCTCAGATGTGATGTTGGGAATGTTGTAGATTTTTCCTCCTCTTACTGATGTTGATCCCTTAAACCAGGTGTAGTTCTTCACAGGTGGGTTTGCATCACTGCTGCAGGTCAGATTCATTGAACTGCCCTCTATTATTCTGCCAGAGGGACTGATGGACACTGAGATGTTCTTTGGAGAATCTGGAGCCAAATGTGAAATTGTTTAAATTACTATGACATGATGTTACCAAGACATCTATTTTCCATTTGTCATGAACTAAACTCACATCTGACTCTGAGGTTCTGTGCAGTAGAGTTGAGATGTTGATATCCTCTTACAGCACAGCTATAACTGCCTGCATCCTCACTGGTGACTGTCTGCAGGTGGAGCTGGTTGTTCTTGATGGTCTTTGTGGTTAAAGGATGTCCATTTTTGTACCAGATGAATGTTGGGTCAGTCAGACTGCAGGTGGTTTTACATGTCAGATCTGCTGTTTCTCCCTCTGTCACTTCTTCAGGAGTTTCTACATGGAGCTCTAAGACAACGACAGAAATATTACATTTGGGAAAAAAAAAGCTAAACTAGACTTTTTGATTTGTTTGTATTACATTTTCTGTGCTGAGAAAACTGACAACTGCATGGCTTAGTGTTTTCCAAGGTTTGACATCAACAGGATAAAAAAAAAGCATGCAAATCAGTGGAGCCAACATGTTGAGTACATAACCCAAATCTTTAGTTATATCCACAAATAACTTTAGCAGTCCCTCATTAATCAGGAATGTGTTACCAAATAAAATCGCTATGTCTGAGGTGAGAGGATGGATTGTGTCATATATTTGGTTAATTTGAATTATCTTACCTGTGACAGTTAGTGTAACTCCAGGTCTTCCTAAATATTTTTGCATTTCTTGATTTGTCTTGATTCTGATGCAGTACTCGTGTTCATCCTTCTTCAATACATCACTCAGTTTAAGGGAAACAAGTTTCTGTTGATCACTCAAATACTCAACTCTTCCTGAGTAATCTGGGTTCTTGGACATATCAGGCCAACTCGGATTCTGAGCTTGGTCCACAACCCATGAAACTTCTGCCACTGTTAGACCATCTGGGTGAGTATAAGTGCCATTCATAAACACTGTGGATCCTTTTAAAGCACATATTTTCTGTTGGTTGTACTTCACACTCCACTTTGTTCCAAAAGCTCCTGAAACATATGATGCATGAAAGAGCTGATTACAGAGTCTGGAGCCCATAAGACAGTCAGACTTACTGTAGTTTACAGCTTCACTTCTCTCCTCTCCAACTCCAGCAGCTACTCTACAACAACTGATTCTGAGAGAAACCACAAAGTGAGAAGAGCTCTAAAGGTGTTGCAGCAAATTCAAAGAAGCCTGCTGTTGTAGAAATCATGTTTCAGTAAGATGTGTTGACTCACCTACAATCATCAGCAGAATCAACAGAGGAAGAGACACTCTGAGCGACACCATTGCATTAAAGCCTACAACAATAACACATAACAAATATACTCTTTGCAGACAAAATTTGAAAACTGATTCACCCAGCCAGCTGTTAAAACACATTATTTTGTAACCTACCAACAAAACCTTTGGTCTGAATAAACTTATGACTTGTCTTACAGTGTAAGAACTGACTAACCGCAATTAATGTGGTCTAAATTTATTTTAATCTGAATATACTCTAGTTCACTTATACTCTAAGTCACCAAATGTTATGTAGTCTGTTACTATTTAACCTATTCAGATGTTGACATGAACTGTTCAAATGCACTGCTGTAAACATTACCCTTGTTATTGTCATTCCTGCCTGGACAAACCGCAAATCTGCTACAAAATGGATACAATAACACTTTACGCAGTGGTGATCACCGGTGTGGTTATCAGTGCTGATCTCAATGTTCTCAGAAACAACATTATAGTTGGCACTAACATTATAGTGTTTACTGGTTTAGTGCAATATTAGAGGGATTCTACTTGGCCTGATTACTTTCTTTAATTTTAAACTGCTGTGGCTAACATCATTAAAATGCTTTTTTTCTTTCAGGATGCATATGACCTTAACCATCATTCACAATATATGTGCTTAGCCTTAAAGTTTAACTTTGAAGTTAAATTTATTTTAATGTCAAATGTTAAAGTTCTTTAATGTGTGCCACAGAGCGCACTGGCTGTTCCAACAATCTCTTCTCCTTTTATTGTATGAAATTGTAATTAATCTCATAATGCATGAGAAACCATGGTGTATCATGTGTCTTATTCTATGCCAAAGCCACACTGGTGTGAGAAGTGGGATGACCCCCACCCCAAGCAAGAGAAGCAGAGCTTGACGAGGGAAGCAGGGAAGATGGCCTGGTGAGAATTGCTATAACAAAATGTTTCTACCAGATTTTTATGTTCTAAAAACAAGCTGTTGACATCTATTGAATATTTTTTTTTCTTATTTCTTTTTTTCTTAGAGATTTTATTGTGTACACAAGGAAGAACATTTCTTGTAAAGGAAGCCGTATTGGAATATAATCCAGGGCTGTCCAATCTTATCCACAGAGGGCCAGTGTGACAGCAGGTGTTCACTACATCAAAGCAGGAAGGCACTTGAAGAAATGTTTGAAGACTAAGACCAACTGATTAAACAAGCAGAATCAGGTGTGGAATGAAAACCTGCAGCCACACTAGCCCTTTGCAGATAAGATTGGACACTCATGTACTAATCATACATTAAATGAGTTGTACAATCACTGCTCCTTCTGTGTATAGAAATGAACATTATATATATATATATATATATATATATATATATATATATATATATATATATATATATATATATATATATATATATTTGCAGTTTTAATAATGTTTAAACATACAGATGTGTATAGAAAAAAAAATATTCTGTACTTTCTAATATTTATACCAGAGATTCAGGTTCTCAAAACTGCAAACACATTTCATTTCAGTTCTTTTTATTTTCATCCATTTTGCATGTATTTTGAAGCTTCTCCTCTTAACAATTTATTTTTTCTTTGGAGTAATGTGATGTTCCAAATGTGTTAGGAGTTTATAGGATGCATGTGTGCAATGTGACTTATCCAGAAAAATGAAATATTGAAGCTTAGGTAATGAAGGCTTTTTTTAAGAAATACATGGAACTTTTGATTTTTTATGTTATTGAAACTCCTGTTTTTTCAGAAAAGCAGGTATTTTGGGTGGTGGATCATTCTCAGCCCTGGAGTGACACTGGTGCAGTGGTGGTGCTATGTTAGTGTGTTATGTTAATCAGACACAGCAGTGCTGCTGGAATTTTTAAACCCCTCAGTGTCACTTCTGGACTGAGAATTGTCCACCAACCAAAAATATCCAGCCAACAACATCCAATGACCACTGATGAACTAGAGGATGACCAGCACACACTGTGCAGCAGCAGATGAGCTATCATCTCTGACTTTACATCTACAAGGTGGACTGACAAGGTAGGAGTGTCTAATAGAGTGGACAGTGAGTGGACACAGTGTTTAAAAACTCCAGCAGCACTGCTGTGTCTGATCCACTCGTACCAGCACAACACACACTAACACACCACCATCATGTCAGAGTTACTGCAGTGCTTAGAATGATCCACCATCCACATAGTACTTGCTCTGTGGTGGTCCTGTGGGGGTTCTGACCATTGAAGAACAGGGTACCAAAGTATGCAGAGAAATAGATGGACTACAGTCTGTAACTGTAGAACTACAAAGTGCTCCTATATGGTAAGTGGAATTGATAAAATGGACAAGTACCTCTCCTCGCCTTCTAGAGTCCAGCAACTGAACAGCCTAGACAGGGGCTCCATCAACCTCCTCAGGTGGGGGTGGCGTGACGTAGAGTGTGACCTTGTCCAGCAGTAGAAATGTGATAGTGAGGGGGCAAATCTAACTTATAAGAGACAACATTAACCAATTTCAAAATTTAAAATGACGATGATACCCTGAAAACAAGCTAACTGAAACTCCAATGTGCTTGAAAAAGGCTGACCAAACCTGAGAAATGAATTGAGGGCCCCTATCTGACAGGATGTCTTCTGGTATACCAAAAGACCTAAAGACCTGATTAACCTGATTAAGTTTCAGCTGTTTGATATGCCATGGGAAGAGAAGCAAAGGGAATTATCCGAACACTGTGTGAAAATCTATAAGTTACTGTGTGGATTGTGGTGAAACCCTGTGATTCAGGTAGGTCAGTAACAAAATCTAGGGCAATGTGTGACCATGGTCTAATTTTTATAGGTAATGGAAGAACCTTACTGGTTGGTAATGTTTTAGTTTTACTTCATGTTCCAAGTTTACACTGTTCTCTGTGGTGATTGCAAATCTTCTCACAGTGGGTTATTTGAAAATGAAGGGTTTTACTTTTCCTGATCTTTCGATAATGAATGAGATGGTCTAAATGAAGGGAATAAGTTATCAACTGATCCAAAGTCAGATTATCATCTCTATATGCAGGATTGGTGAGAATTTCTTGGCTAAGTCCTTTATTGAAGTTGACAAATAATGCTGGTTCATTCCATACACTGCTAGCAGCCTGCATAAGAAATTCTAAAGAATATTCAGAGACAGTGTGATTACCTGCCGTAAATTCATTAATAATTCTCCAGTCTTTTTGCCCTCTTATGGATGATCAAACACCAGACAAAACTCTTTCAGGAATTGTTCATAGGATAAGGTATGTAAACATGGCCAGCTAGCAGTAGCCCACTCCAATGGTCTGTCAGAGAGGTGTGATAGAACAAACAGAATTTTTGCCTGGTCTGAACTCTGAGGGAAGTTCTCAAAAAACACAGGAAACTGAAGGAAAAACCAGTCTGGATTATACTTTGTGTGTGTGTGTGTGTGTATGTGTGTAAAATTATACAGGATATTGTCATTAACTTGAACTGCAGTTTATATTGTCCCTCCCCATAAGGTCAAGTTCATGCTTTCCTGTGAATGTTTTAGTTCCCCTGGACAGTGTGTGTGTGTGTGTGTGTGTGTGTCTGTGTGTGTGTGTGTGTGTGTGTGTGTGTGTGTGTGTGTGTGTGTAGAATTATACAGGATATTGTCATTAACTTGATCTGCAGTTTATATTGTTCCTCCCCATTAGGTCAAGTTCATGCTTTCCTGTGAATGTCTGAGTTCCCCTGGACAGTGTGTGTGTGTGTGTGTGTGTGTGTGTGTGTGTGTGTGTGTGCACAGCAACAACAACACAGACCAATGTGTTTTAGGAATGCCTGAATCAGAAACATGCTGCTGCTAGTGACCAGAAAACATGTGAACATGATAAACATACTATCAGTGACGTTGAAGCTGCCAGTGTTTAGCTTGAGAAAGAGAGGAGGGAATTGCAGGTGCAGCCTAAGACATAGGAAAGGAAATTGTTTCCTTCCTCCTTTTCTTAAGGAGTTTAGAAGAACAAAAAAGAGAAAATAGAGAAACAGTCGGATACTTCAGAATCTTTTAGTTATGATACTGTTTTTGATCCTACTGTATTAAAATCTCTAAAACAGATGTGGAAGCCAAATAACAATTAAATATATCCCGCTGAACCCAGAACAGATATATCATCAAATATTAAAAAAGGAGGGCACTCTCCTTTTTTAACAGTAACAACACATAAATTATATTCTCTTCAACTGTTGAATGTCCTGTCAGTGTGCTCTCAGATACTGATATTCGATGAGATGGTAAAAAGAAGGAAGCACAGAATCTATAATGTCTCAAGCACTGAGTTGAATTCGGCCACTCCAAACCTTAATTTGGTTTCTTTGAGATATTTAGAGGTGGACTTGCTTTTGTTATTCGGATCATTGTCCTGCTACATAACTAAACTGCACTTGATCTTTAGGTCACAAATTGAAGTTCAATAAAAGTAATTCATTTAAAAAAAATAAGATTTGATCTGGTGCTTGCTTTCAAGTTTCTTGATGCTCTAGAAGTATAGTTGGACTGTAAAAGTGTAACAAGACTTTAAATCTGGAACTCACTGCAGTATTCTTGTAGTCACTGGATGTGTCAACATCAGGAGATCAGGAAGTGGGCTCTACATTCTACAGAATAGAAAGTAGAATAGATGAATAATAAACATTATAAACACCTTTACTGTTTATGTTCTGTTTTACTGTTCTCACTTTACAACTAAGAACTACTACACTCATCACTCTTTCACATTAAAGCAGGATTTAGGGACACTGATATCTAGAATTTTATAAAAGCTCACCACATAGAGATATTCATCTGTGTTTCCATCCTGCCTATTTTTTCTGCTCTCAGATTTTTTTTTTTATAGAGGTTTATTTTTTTTGTTAATGAAACTGATATTTGAAAAGATTAACAAACATGGAATGAAACTAATATTTTATATTTAATGTAAAGTTCAAAGTGATTCTCACCTTCTCCAGCAAACAACAGTGAGAAAAGCTGTGATTCCATACTCCGAATCCAACAGCTATATATAGGATCGTGGAGTAGGCTGATAGCAACACATAACAACAAATACATATGTACAAAGAAAAACTAAGTCTAAAGAATGAATGAAAATCATGTGAATCATGTAAAACAAATAAAATTTAAAAAGTCACACAGCGTGAGATCTGGTGATGCTGGTGACCTTTTTCTTGCAACTGTTGGTACCAGTGACACATACTCTGAGCTGTTGGAGGTTCACTGCCGTACTGACAGTCAGAAACTCTATGACTTTCTCTTTCAATTGTCTTGTGATTGGTTCCTTGGTGACTTACGGTTGTAAAAATATGGTGCTTTGAAATCGGATTAATTTTTTTGAATCACCCTGTATATGCTATGATCGCATTTTTCAAATCACAGTCTTGATTTTTATTTTTCTGATTGATTCATTTCACATTATGGCATATCAGCTATATGTTAAGGCAAGAATAAAGGTAAACTCACATCTGACTCTAAGGTTGTGAGCAGTAGAGTGGAGATGTTGATATCCTCTTACAGCACAGCTATAACTGCCTAAATCCTTGGTAAAAGACTGTGATTATGGGGCGGTGCTGCAAGGCTCTACAGGAAAGATAGCTTGGCAAGGTTTCACGGCAAGGCTGGCTTGGGAAGTTTTTATGTTTCCTAGTTTTTCAAACATGCCTTTGATATACTGCGACTGGCCACTTCAATAAAACCTCTCTTTCTACACACTGACCATTTTATCAGCTCCACTGACAATATAGTTCTACAGTTACAGACAGTAGTCTCTCCATTTCTCTGCATACTTTGTTACCCTGTTCTTCAATTGGCCCTAGGGTCAATCAGATTATATTTTGAGGTGCCATTGCACTTCAAGTTTCAGAAGGGAATGAAAATGCTATTTGTGCATTTTTTTCAAATGAAAGCCTCCCGAGCAAATAAGAGGTGTGTGTGTGTGTGTGTGTGTGTGTGTGTGTGTGTGTGTGTGTGTGCAAAATCCTACAAGTTATTGTCATAACTTGATCTGCACTCTATATCATCCCTCAGTTATGGGTAAGGTTCATGCTTTCCTGTGAAAATTTTAGTTCCAGTGTACTCTGTGTGTCTGGGTGTGTGTGTGTGTGTGTGTGTGTGTGTGTGTGTGTGTGTGTGTGTGTGAAAGAGGAACACTGAACACACATACAAGGAAAAGGCGGGAACTCTTAGCTTTTTACATGTTAATATCATGACTTTTGAGGAACATGGTAAGATGGTTAAGGGAGGCTTGAAGCAGATATTAGATAAACTGTGTTTAAAACAGAAAGTGGTGTAAAGTGTGGTGTTCTAGAGGAGTCAGAGTCTAGAGCACTGTTTTATGGTCCTGAGCAAATTGTGTTAAGGGTTAGGGTTAGGGTTAGGTTAGGGTTAGATTCCCAGTTTCTCAGAGTAGAGAAACAGTGCCCTCCTCCTCTCACTTGACAAACTGCAGACAAAGTCAGTCGGACCAGTGATGACATCAAACCTCACAAGTGAACATGAACTGGAATTAGTATTGGTGAGATCCAAATATCAAAATCTGTTGCTGGGGTAAGCTTTATAGATACAAAGGAAATTACATCATTTCCAGCCAGTCAGCATCTGAAATGAGGCCATCTTCCACAATAAGCTGATGTGAGGAAATCATCGGCTGTCGGCTCTCCACCCTGGAAGACCTTCCCTCATCTAGGATGAGGAAAATCATGGGGATTTCTGGGGGAAATCATGTCTGACTCCTCACACCCTGGTCACTCTCTTCCAGACTCGGACTAACTGCCTTTTCCACAGCTTTTTTCCTCAGGCCATCATCCTCTTAAACAAGGACTCTTCTCACATTCCTCTGCTTTTTTAATGTTAATCTTAATTTAGCTTTATATGTTAGCTTACAGCATCTTAACTATAGTTAGGGAATACTTAGATATTCAAATTAATAATCAGTTATAAACACGTAATTGAAATAACTTAAATCTAAGTTTGTTAGCTAGACAGCTACTGGTGTAACAATGTTAAAACAAAATTAAAGTGTGATTACCTGGGGGTTCAAAGTTTAACTCATTATATTCCTCCATTGCTGCAATATTTTATTTGACAAACAGATACAGGTAAAAAGAGGGGATGAGGAGATAAAATCACTCTCAGGAGTGAAACTAACATTTTGCAATATAAATAAATGTAATGTCATTATGTGAGTTACAGCTAATGTTATGCTGATTGTCACAATTGCCTGAAAAGTTTCAGTTAAGAGGTTTTGGTAAAATATTCTCATAATTCTTTTGACACTTGATTTGTCATACGCTGTTTTAACTGTTTATTATTTTTTGCAGGTTAGCTGGCTGTAATACTACCTCAAACTCCTGATAAAGTCTCTACTCTGCTTCACAATCAACGAACTCCACCCTGAAACAGCTGGACCTCAGTAACAATTACCTGCATTATTCAGGAGTGGAGCTGCTCTTTGCTGGAGTTCACACTGTAACTTTTTTTGATCAAACTGTAATGCACATAACCACTGTATGTACAATGGCATATTCCTTCTGAATAACGCCATCTACTGTCATCAGTGCACATGCACGTGCAATATACATATTTCATATATATATATATATATATATATATATATATATATATATATATATATATATATTGACATTTGGTGCACAGGTCTTTAAGCTATAGATAATGTACTTATGTACTCCAGTACTTGACTGTAACTGTATTATCCCACTGGACATCCTCTATATTATTGCAGATTGTTTCCGTATTGACTATTTTATGTTTATGTACAGTACATATTTTTGTTCTATATTTAATTTACTGGATTTGATTTTGACACATGCACCAAGAGAACTTCCTGTATTTTTGGTACTTGCTGAGTTTAGATTTTGATTCTGATTCTGGTAGCTGTCAACTTGAGCAGGAAAACTTTCCCCAATAATTACAATCATTTCACTTTTCAAACTTTGAAAAATGTCAGATAAATCTGTTCGATTCTTCAGCTACACTTGATAGTTATTAATCACATGTATCTGATGTTGCTGTTTCACCTGCTGTCTGTGCTGTTCTGACACTTTAAGTAACAGCAGAGTTTGATCATCACTGGTGTGACTGTCTCTGCAGTTTGTGAAATGACATGAAGAGGGCACTTTTCTGTCTGATGGGTGAAAGAGGGGATTTTTACAGTGTGAATTTATGATGCTGATGCATTCAAGTGGATAAACCCTTTTTGCAGCTTCAATAGTTAACATTTCACCTAAAGGATTTCGATGTGTTCTCTTTTATAATGAGGATAGACCCATTATGCATGTATTTATATACAGAAAAGATGCATTTTTTACATAATAATTGATGAAATAACTGAGGTAATAATGTATAATCTCTGGTACTGTAATCAATTGGTAATGCTGAAACATCACCAGCAGTTACATTGTTGTGGCATGTATTGTTAATGTGTAACTACACGGTTATTATAGACACTGTAAGAACATTTAATAAATGAAACAAATTATGAAATTGATTTACTGACAAAGCATCTGCATGCTTTAATTTAGTTGTGTTATCTTCATTGGGTGTTGTGTCTATGGTGGTCCGACTCATGCTTTATAGTGAACGGTGGTGTGGTGTTGGTTGTGTATTTATGTATTCAGCTTTCTGTTTGAATACTATTGTTTTGTGTCACCATAGGGTGGAAATAGAAATGTTATAGTGATGGCTGTACAGCTGTCAGGAACAGGCTGTAGCATGGTGTAATGGCATTACAGGACACTGGACCATTAGGAAAGTGTATCTACTAGGTTGACCTACCAGATTTTAGACAGCACAATCCAATAATTAATTTCTGTTTTTTTTTCATGGTTCCTCTAATTGTGTTTATCAATCTTTCTCACAATATGTCCAAGATATGCTTCAGTTTAGCTATCTCAGCTATAAGTGAGTGTCTGAATAAAAATAAGTCTGTAGTTTTATTTTACAAACACCTTGCAATACAAAAGATGTATCAACTAAATGATTTCCACACATGGTCTAAAGCAAAAATAACCAGCCAGTGAGGAAGACCATCCCTCCTCCCACTGACCAAGTATGTTGTATATCAAAAATTCAACTGTGGGGAATGTAAAAGCTCCAAGTTGCTTGGTGTTTATCCCTTAGTGATTTTGTTTCACAACAAAGAAGTCGTTAATTTGATCTCCAGTTGTGTTAAGCACCCTGCCATGTTGCAGCAAGACTGAGTCAGGTCATGGACTCAGCAGAGCAGTAGGAACTAGAGCATCTGTGAAGCACCTTAGCTAATCAGGGCACAGCTATAGGCCATCATGAGCAAGTCCTGAAGCAGATATTAACCTAACTGCAGGGCCTGGCTGGGGCCATCACTCAAGCCCAACAGGTGGAAACTCCTGCCCTGCCTGTTGTGGCTCCTGAAATTCCACCAACTATGGCATTGATCTTTAGAGTTGAGCCTAACCTGCCTTCCCCAGAATGGTTTATGGGTAGCCTGGCCATTGTAGGTGGTTTCGACTGCAAATTATCCTTTGAAGAGCAGCTCTCATAGTTCCCCACTGAGTGTACCATGTGTTCCTCCGCAGAGCTGTTTATGGCCGCTATGAACAGTATGTTTGACCATCCAGAGTGGCTAATTCTTGTGTCCTCCAACTTTGGAGGACAAGTGCTCAGTGGCAGATTATTCCATAGAGTTTAGCACTCTGGCCGCAAAGAATGGATGGAATGTGAATGGCTATTTTCCAACAGAGCCTCCATAGTGAGGTTGAGGATCAGCTGGTCACACAAGACATGCTGGATTCCCTGGAAGAGCTCACTGAACAGGCACTATATTTGAACAACTGTCTATGAGAGCGCTGTATGGAACCGGAGTCTTTGTGCTCATGCTATTATGGCTCCATCCCTGGATGCCCTCAGCCCTCCCCCATTCCCCATACCTCTTGATTCTACCAAAAAGCCCATGCAGTTGGGAGGTACCCACCTTTTTTATCTGGAGTGCAAAGCTCATTTACAAGAGAGTAGTTACCTTTCCTGTGGGCAGCCTAGTTATCTCTGTTCTGGTTGTCCCAAGCTTGAAGGAAAAGGCCAAGGTAAATTGCAGGAGCGGGATCTGTGATGGACCAATCCCCAAGACTTCTGGGCCTTTCCTTACTGCCACACTCTCATGGGGGAAACGTTTTGAGAAAATGCTCCAGGTTTTTGTGGACTCTGGTGCAGCCAGCAATTTTATCGATATTACTCTGGCTAAAATGCTAGTCCGCTAGTTAACCTGGAGACCTCTGTATCAATTTTAGCCATTGACAGGTAAGCCAGCAGACCCAGCCCATCACCTTGTGATAGGTCAGCACACAGAGCAGATTTCAATACTGCTCACTCAGGTGCCTGAGTTGCAGCTAGTATTAGGGTTCTCCTGGACCTCCACACATGTCCTATGACTGAATCATTGACCTCCTCCCAGGCACGAGGGAGGCTGTTTTCTGTTATTCTCTTTTTCCTGAAAAACAGCTGTGGAGGAATGCATCAGGGAGGCCCTAGCAGTTTGGTTCACTTGACCTCCCCCT